TTTCAAATTTATTATAGCTTTAGTTTAACTGTGAAATTAAAAAATGTTTTCAAACATGTAAAGCTTCCACTTCAATTTAATTATTGCCTGCTTTTGGTCAATTTATTTGGTCATCTTACCATGTAAGAAGAACATGTATAGGAAAACACCGCTTTATATGAGTATACATACTTACACCAGCAGCTACCATCTTTTCATTCTGGAGTCAAGGGCCTTTTGAAATAACATATTTTACAATGATACTAGTGAGTAGATTTACAAAACTTCGTTAATGAGCTCCGTTTTACAAACACCTGTGATACAAGTAGTCAGCCAAAATAAACTATCAATAGACCAATTAAAAGATTACTCGAGTTGTAAATATGTGCTAAATTGGATAGTCTATGAGAAGTTAGAATATAGCAAAGTACTCTCGACCAATGAAATTATAGGATTGGATGCCTCTTAATTGTGAAGAATGAATGTAAATCATGTTCTTAGTAAGGGATTATCCTATTATTTGGGTCTATTTACAGTTCAAAACAAAGAGTTTCTATAAATGAGTTACAACTGCCCTGAAGCACATTTATCAGATCGAAAGAATTTATCACAGAGTGATTGAAACTGACTAAAAGTTGAATTGTGAAACAAACAAAAATCTCAAAATAAGTTGAAGTTCACTGGTGCAGTAAAATTGGTACCGTGAATGTTATTATGAAAATATTAATAACTTCAAATTACTATAAAATTAAACAATACCAAAGCAATGCAAAAAAAAAAGGAAAAAAATCTTTCAGATAAAAAATAACCTAAATCTTTAGCTTTCCAAAACTTTGATTACTTGATCAGCGGTTGGGGAGAATAGTTATTTCCAATACATGTATTCCGATAAAAAAAACAGGAATTTAGTTTTGAACATATTAAAAACTCTTTTAAGGGCATTATTTTTGAACATTTCCCTGACATAATGAAACAGTATTTGATGTAAAAAGCTGGACCAAATTATTGGCTGTGAAATAAAATTTAGTTGTTACTCAAATGTATTAATTGATTTAAACTGTAAATAAAAAAAGGATAATTCCTCACTAAAATATTACATGATTTACATTCATACTCACAATCAGGAAACATACAATTCCTACCTTTTCTTTCTACTGTTGTGTCACCTAATATCTATAACGCATTTTTTTAAAAATATTTCCCAAATGATAAGAAAGTCCTCACATCACTAAAACTAATCCATAAATGACATGCCGAAAAAGGAAGTCATGCATCAATTATAAACATTGCACTGACAATGAAACTAATTGATAGATCATTTGAGCCTTGAGCACTTTACAATATTCTAAGTTTGTAAGAGAATGATAATCCCTTACTTCATGATAAGTACTCGCTAACGCTCGTACTTATTCATGAAGAAAGGGATTATCATTCTCTTACATATACGTATATACTATGAAATTAAGAGCTCGGGGCAAGCTTATTGTTAATTTTCCTTTTTTAGACGGCGATGTGCCTTTGGCTCCATCATACGGTGTTTATATATCCCAACTCGTTCGGTATGCCCGTGTGTGTAGTGATGTCATAGATTTTAACGAACGTAATCAATGCATCACTGCATGGTTAATTATTAAGTCAGGGATTTCGTTACCATAAATTACTTAAAACTTTTACTAAATTCTTTCATAGATACAAAGATTTGATTAGTAAATTTGGCTGTACCTGTAGAAAATTATTAAAAATGGTATTTCACATCCTAAGTTTTATGGTAATATTGTACTTTTGTAATCCGTGTAAACTCATCGAACCTTTAAACAAACTTATTAGTAAGGGTTATCGTACCAATGTTGTAATTAGATCTTTGAATATAGTTTACATTGGCACTAATATCGATTTTGTCATTAGCAAATTAAAACATAACTAAATTTGTATTTTCTTTTCAAACGGGATGTATAGAGACACACACACGTTTATTTTTATCTATAAAGAAGTCACTCCTAACTATCCTACTACCTGTCGATACATTTCATTTGGCATTGCACAAGTCATGTCTTCTTTGACTGTTCATGACGTTAAAATACTAAATCCCTGGGATGTATTTTAGTTGATTTTAGTTTCTGATGCATGATTTTTTTATTATTAATTGTTTTGGCTTTTAACTAGCTGTCAGTAACTGCGAGTACTCTCAAATCGTACTTTCTTTTTAATTTGACCTGTTGATACTATTTGTAATGCTTTTTTTGTTATTTAATGTTATTAATAACATGGATCTTGTCTATATACCAGCTTTGATTATTTGATATCACTACAAATTTTCACTTCTTCGTACTATAAACATCAAAATTATTTCATTTTTCCTTAGATGCTGTTCTTTGACCTGTACAGGAAGTTTTATCTAGCACTAATTGTATAGTTTTATTGTTGATATTCACTCCATATGTACCAAGTGTTAGATTAGTTTTATTGATATTAAAGAAATTTCTTGGTATTCCTAAACGGAAGATGTTATACACACAGAAGAAGAAGTATACTTCACAACAAAATTATTTTCATTTACCTGTGTATAATATGACGCAGGTTTCTTCAAAAGTGATGATTTTATAAAAATTATTTGACATTTCACAGTGATATTATACTTAAACTTTGTTTAAACCTGTTTATTTACTTTTGACTTTAATTATTTATCCCTTGTAATTTTTATTAACTGTGTATTTGCATTCAGGTGTCACAGGTCAAATTTATTCGTTCATTGTGTGTTTATTTACGTTTTTTGATTGAGTTAAGCCTTCCAATTGATATTTTATAGTGTGTTTTTCTATGTTGTGATGTTATACTATTGTTTCAGAAAATGGAGAAGGTTTGGTACCATTAAAACGTTTAATCCCGCTGCAAATGTTTGCACCTGTCCTAAGTCAGGAATCTGATTACAGTAGTTGTCGTCTGGTTATGTGGTTCATACATGTTTCTCGTTTCTCGTTTTAATATAGATTAGACCGTTGGTTTTACACTAGTAATTTTTCGGGGCCATTTATAGCTTGCTGTTCGGTGTGAGCCAATGCTCCGTATTGAAGGCCGTACCTTGACCTATAATGGTTTACTTTTATAAATTGTAACTTGGATGGAGAGTTGTCTCATTGGCACTCATACCACATCTTCCTATATCTATATTATGAAAGATTTTTGACATTTTTTAAACACTCAAGAGTCTACTTCATTCGATTCAATTAGTTTATGTAAAAGATTTGAACTGATTTGGTAATTCAAGCTTCAATATGAAAAATCTATCAAATGTGCCATAAAACGTCCCTTTTCAGATAGTTTTTGTCTAACATGTAAGCGACCGCATTCGTGTTCAGTCTCACCTTCATACATGTTATGTATTATCATGAACTACAACATAATTATATTGAAATATTAAGACTGAACACGAGTGCGGCCACTTCCGTTTTAGACAAACAACGTCTAAAAAATTAGCACAAATGCTTTAATTGTGAAGATTTCAGTTATTTTACATGAATTACTGATGCTAGTACCTGATTAATGTACATTGTGTTGTCAAAAACAGCCCATATCAAGTTACGTAACAAAAGTATTCTGCTTTCCAATAAATAGCTGAAAGTTTACATTTTGAACAAATTGTAAAAATGCTATATTTTGGTGCCAAAAAGGGGTCTTACCGGGCCTACTCCTTTATATCTATCTATTATAGTTTTAAAAATATTAGGAAAAAACGTAAAGAAATGGTAAAACTCGTATTTAAAGGGAAATAAGTCCAATAAGGAGTCATTGGACGATTTCAACTTTGTTGACTTATTTGTAGATCTTGTCATGCTTATTGTTTTTGCCATATAAAATTTCTATCCATTTAGTTTTCAAGATGATAGGCACATTTTTCTTTTTTTTTAAATAAAATTCGTCATTTAAGAGCAATAACTCCTGTTAAAAGTCGTCGGACAATGCTGATGTAGATAGACAATAGATGGCTCTCAACATTGTGAATATTTTTGTGAAGAACAGATTTTCTCTATATGTAACGGTTTTCAAGATATAAGACAAAACATGCATTTTAACCCTTTTTTCTATTTTTAGCCATGTCGGGCATGTTGCGTGCTCATCGGAGACATTTTCAAAACTATATACCCCAATGATGATTGTGGAAAAGTTTGGTGAAATTTGGCCTAGCAGTTTCAGAGGATTTTTGTAAAAGTGGACGGACGACGACGACGGACGCCAAGTGATGAGCAAAGCTAAAAAAAAATATATGTAATATTTTTCATTACTTAACTCCCACCCCCCACCCCCCCCCCCCCCCCATTAATTATTTGGGTTTTTTTCCAGTTTAGCCACAGGCTTAAAATATGATTCACATGAGATTAGGTCCCGAAACAGGACTAAACATTTTAAAATCGTACTAAATCCCGTTGAGCACAAAATCCAAAAAGAATCTTGATTCTTTAAAATTATAAATCCTTCGTTATTTTTTTTCTTCAGAAATTACAAAAAAAATATTATCTAGTTTTACTCAGCTTGGGGATCGATTTAGGATTTACTTTGTAAAAAAAAATCATAAACGATCCCATTTTTAGGAAGGAGACTTTGTCCCGTACGATACACTTTTTTAACAGCCATATTTTTTTTTATACTTGTACAAAGTTGAACATTATATTTAATTGATCAACTTTGTAGTAATTGTAAGACGATAGTTCATTTGAACTGTGCAGTATATCTGAAGAATTAGTGGTCACTTTGCTGTGCATTATTCAGATTATAACACAGAAAGAACAAAGCGAGTTTGCCTATGTAATATGTTAAAACACGTAATTGAATCAAAAGTAGAATTTACCATTATCTATGACCATTAGAATTCAACACCGAGTTTATGATTTCATTGTTGATTACAATTTTATAAATTGAAAATAAAATGAATGATAATTCAACATCTAATAGGGATGGCTGTTCGGAGGGTTATATGATACTAATGAACTGATATGCGCTTCTAACTAAGTTAAACAAAGAATAAATAAAGATCGAAAACTTTTATTGTTCAGAGATTCAATATAATCGTCACAGTATCAAATATTAATTTTGTTGAATGTAACAGTATGTAAACAAATTTTGTTATGCCTGGAGTATCAAATTTTTTATGGATTTTATGTATTTCTTTTCATAGAAAATAACCGTAAATTAAGTGTTAAGAAGAAGTCCGAATTGGTAAAACATGGTAGATTTCAAATTATCACCGTCTTCCGAAAGCTGATTTTGTAACAGGAATTTTTCCTTTATCTCCACATGGTGGATCCACATTGGCTTTCCAATCACAGGTCGAAAGTTTTTCATTGAATACAAGATCTGAAATAGAAATTTTGAGTGTCAGACAGTGAACGTATGTAGCATTCAAGACCAAGAAAAGTTTTTGAGACTTTTGTTAAACTTATTACATTTACAGTACATGACCACCTCTAACAATGTAGTATAATGAATAGATATATCATGTTAAGGAGGGGTATTTGCAAAAAATACCAGTCGAGAGAATGTTAAATTTCGCGAGCCGTAAGGCGAGGGAAATTCATTCTCAAAACTGGTATTTTTCGCAAATACCCCTCAAGAACATGCTATATCTGTTTAATTACAACAAATGTTAACGTTCAAAAACGCATTGATGATCGTGACGTTACAAGCGTCCAGTCGGATAGAGTATTTTTTGGCAAATACCATGGCAGAGAGGGTAAAAAAGGCATATCCTTTTTGCATATACCCCGGCGGCGTTAAACTAGAGGCTCTAAAGAGCCTGTGTCGCTCACCTTGGTCTAAGTGCATATTAAACAAAGGACACAGATGGATTCATGTTTTGGTGATGGTGATGTGTTTGTAGATCCTACTTTACTGAACATTCTTTCTCCTTACTATTATCTCTATCTATAATGAACTTGGCCCGGTAGTTACAGTGGAAAATATATTGTAAAAATTTACAAAAATTTACAAAATTTATGAAAATTGTAAAAAATTGACTATAAAGGGCAATAACTCCTTAAGGGGTCAATTGACAATTTTGGTCATGTTGACTTATTTGTAGATCTAACTTTGCTGTACATTATTGCTGTTTACAGTTTATCTCTATCTATAATAATATTCAAGATAATAACCAAAAACGGCAAAATTTTCTTAAAATTACCAATTCAGGGGCAGCAACCTAACAACGTGTTGCCTGATTGGTCTGAAAATTTCAGGGCAAATAGATCTTGACCTAATGAACAATTTTATCCTCATCAGATTTGCTCTAAATGCTTTGGTTTCAGAGATATGAGCCAAAAACTGCATTTTACCCTATGTATTATTTTTTAGCCATGTCGGCCATCTTGGTTCGCGGGAGGGGTCATCGGACACATTTTTTAAACTAGATACCCTAATGACGATTGGGGACAAGTTTGGTTAAATTTGTCTTAGTAGTTTCAGAGGAGAAGATTTTTGTAAAGGATTACAAAAATTTACGAAAAATGGTTAAAAACTGACTATAAAGGGCAATAACTCCTTAAGGGGTCGACTGACCATTTTGGTCAAGTGACTTATTTGTAGATCTTACTTTGCTGAACATTATTGCTGTTTACAGTTTATCTCTATCTATAATAATATTCAAGATAATAACCAAAAACGGCAAAATTTCCTTAAAATTACCAATTCAGGGGCAGCAACCCAACAACGGGTTGTCAGATTCATCTGAAAATTTCAGGGCAGATAGATCTTGACCTAATAAACAATTTTACCCCCATGTCAGATTTGCTCTAAATGCTTTGGTTTCAGAGATATAAGCCAAATTCTACATTTTACCCCTATGTTCTATTTTTAGCCATGGCGGCCATCTTGGTTGGTTGGCCGGGTCACCGGACACATTTTTTAAACTAGATACCCCAATGATGATTGTGGCCAAGTTTGGTCAAATTTGGCCCAGTAGTTTCAGAGGAGAAGATTTTTGTAAAAGTTTACGGACGACGGACGACGGACGACGGACGCAGGACGACGGACGACGGACGCAAAGTGATGAGAAAAGCTCACTTGACCTTTCAGGTCAGGTGAGCTAAAAATGAACGATATTCATTTGATAACAGTAAATTGGTGAAAAATACACTGGCTATCAACCAATCAAAACCCAGGATTTTTACATAAGGTGTAATTATAACAAAAATAGTTCGGATATATGCAAGCTAAATATAAGCTTAAAGTGCTTCACTGAATACGAGTACCTTATTAAACTAATCATCTGCCAAAAAGGGCATGCTACTTGTATAACGATTATATACAAAAATAAGTAAAGAAACACTAATGATGATGATGCTGAATGGAAGAAGCATCTGTAACAATAACAGCTGTATCGGTTGTTTTCTAATTGTAAAAAAATATAACAAATCAAAGTCACAGGGTTGTATACTTTTTCATCTTCACATGAAAGAAGCCAAATAAAGCTGTTTTCTGTATCTAGGTATTTTCAATTAGTACATATTTTAAAGCAGAATCTAATAACCAGCTTGTCGCTGGTGGCGGAGTGCTGGATATTTCATAAGAAAATGATATCATCTTCAATTGACCTAAACACCAACATATACGAATTGTTTACCTTTGTAAATCTTTTATTAACGATCCTGCTCAGTCGATTATTTACAAACACCGATTCTAAAAGCTTGTGACGTGCTTTCTAGTATCACATTTTAGACAAAACCTAGTCTCCATTTTAAACATACTTTTAAATTTGAAATAAGTACGTAATTAACTCATTCTGTAAAAGATTATCTTTCCATATACTTTTTAATCAAAACACCTTTAATTTCATTAACATTAAGATTATTAGTATCAACATTCAACTTTCATGATGAAGAGATGAAGGGTATACATTAATGAGACAGCAACATAACGACACAAAAAGACATCTAAAGAGGTCAACATACGGCTTCAACAATAGACAAATTTCTTTGCAATATGCCAAGCTCTGAATCGCTCCTAGCCTAGAATTAAAGTTAGGGCAGCCATTAACACCAAATTCCCTAAATGACAAAAAAAAAATTATGATATACCTAAAGGCATCCAATAAGTAGGTTCTTGTGACAGGGATAAACTAGTTTTTTTGAAACCCCAAAGCTCCCCCTTTTACATTATGTCTTGATCAGTGTAATTGCAATATAAATATAAAACAACGAACACTTAAAATCGTTTTGTTATTAAAAAGAACTTACTAGCTGAACAAGGGTTATGTCCCATAAATGTTTCTGTGTTACAGGTGTAATAAGATCGACATTTCCAGTCAATATCAGCATATAGGCCATCAGCTTTTCCTGTACAGTCTCGAAGTGTTCCGCATGGTGCACCTACATTTATCATACTGAAAAATATTCAATGCAAAATTAAAATAAAGAAGATATAAATCCCAAGATTATACCAGTAAGTCGAAACAATCTTCAATGACAATCACAAGAAACAATGGAGACAAGATGAGAACCCAGTCAGGCCAATAGTATTTCTCGTTTGAGTACTATTAGTATTAGTTTTCATTTTGTCATGTCGCGGCCTTTTAAAGCTTACTATACGGTATGGGTTTTGCTCATTGTTGAAGACCGTTTGGTGACATATAGATGCTTACATCCATATCACTTGTTCTCTGGTGGATAGTTTTCTCATTCGCAATCATACATCTCCTCATTTTATATAAGTGTTTGCCATTTAGTATCCTGCAGAACAAATAGGCTTGCAACTTCGCAGGATGATGAAATTAGATAACTACCAGAAAGGTATCTTTATACTATGCATAAATGAACACGGCATTTTTAGAATTCTTAATATATAGTTATAAAATGTAGCTAAGTAACAAATACACTATTTTCCGTTCTACTTTTTTTTTTAATTTACAACCACTTGAGACGAGTGTTCGTTGGGTAACTCATTTAATTGGCATCTTCGTATTAAACCTAAGCTGCTGTTTTGATTTCGGCAAAGTGAAACTTCCAACATTTTCTGTTGTATCAAAAACGTGTTGAGTTTCAGTCCAGACATTATCGTGATTTTTTGTGTTAGTTTTCGTTTACTATAATGTTTACTGAAGAAACACTGATATTCTTGACAACAGTTAAATACTTACTCATCACAAGCTTGTGTTACATTGTTGAAGACCTTGTTATCTGCGCATTGCACGGTTGATGCCACACCGCCTGTACATTGGAGGTACGTTTTGCATGCAGGCTCATAAATTCCATCTGGTAGTTGAGAGCAATCAGCAGCTAGAGAAGATGCTGAAAAATTTAAAATACATATACATGTCATAATTAGTAAGTATGATTAACTAATCAATATTAAAACTCAAGATACACGAATGGAGAAGATAACCATAGACCACTTTATGACCAATTTAATTCGAAAATGGAAAATAAAAAAAAACTAATTTTAATAAATCAAATTACTTCCCCCAGACGGTAAATTTTGTATATATTTGCTCTCAGCCTTCAAAGTTCTTGCATTTAAGGAAACACTGCAATTAAAAGCTCTCCATTCGTACATGTTGTATCATTTTGAGATCTTGTCATTAACATAATTATAGGTATGAAAACAGCCATACCCAAATATATGTTTTCCATAATTTGTTATTTGCTATTTATTGCTTCACAAATAGGGATATCGGAACGAGGGCCCTATACTTTTATGTATTGAGATATGGTTGTTTCCCTTACATTATATCTATTCAACAAATAACATTATAAATGGCTAAAGATTGTTCAAAATGTACAAAATGCACCCAATGTAATAGATTTTGAGCATTTATTAAAGGCTCTCTGAACTAGGAGTACAATTGTCTAATTTTCAGATACTTCATTTTTGAAAAGTGTAGAAATTTTATCCATTTATGGTCTGCCGACTTCAGAATTCAACTGAAATTAATGATAAAATTCTACACTTTCCGAAATGACGTTTTAAAAATGCATGCAATTTGTAAAACATATATAGCCATTTGTCATCATAAATTTTTAACTAGTAAGTGGTCGGTGAATAATTTCATGAAATATGTATAAAACTGGGGGTCTAAATTCTTGTTTATTGGGCGCATAAACATTGTGTATATACATTACGATCTATTACAAAAACAAGTAATATGAGCTACCTTCTTTATTAATATTTTCATTTGTTTGATGGTTTATTTTTTTTTATTATTGATGAATCAACAGTTTTAGTGTAATTGAAAGAATATTACCATAAGAAACAATGATAAACATATTTTCACATAATTGAAGATAGCTTACATTTCTTTATAAATTTTGCTCATTTCAGTAAAAATCAGAACCAAAAGTCACAGTTTGATGGTGGCAACAATTTTGTACCTCTAAACTACTTTAAGTGGTAACCGGTTTTGTTTATCGCTGATTGACTATAAATATTCCCTCCGATAATGTTCTTAGATTAAAGGTCAAACAGACATTGACCTCAGTTTATTTTTTTTAATTCATGACAACAGCTGGGTTATGGAAAGGAGAGTTAAGCTGAAGTATAACGAAGAACGTAACAAAATAGTCCGCTACTCGCATGAGTTAATGGTAAGAGGTCCACCGTGAAATATTGTGACAAATTGTGTTGGAAACTTTGAATTTGTTAGTTACTATCTGATATCGAAGAACATATCGATTTAACAGCATATGTTGTTTTATTCAAGAATTTGAATCTTCTTTTTGTAATTTTATTGAGGTCTAAAAGCGTTGACCGAAACACTTCATACTAAACATGTGAGCACGTTCAACGCTTTAACACCCCTATAAAGTTACAAAAAGAAGCTTTTAATTCTTATAATTACATTTTATGCATTGTACTAGACCGAAACTTTGAGCCGGATTTTTAACTTGCTTCCTCTCGCACACAAGTATATATAAATAGATAAAAACCTTAGGAACTATATGACCTTAAAGGCATATCCAAATTCATCGAAGACAAACTTCGCCTGAGGGAATTAAAACTTTAGTTTACTAAAAACGTATATTTCTTTTTAAATTGCTTTTAATATACTTTTCATTTAAAACAGTGAAAGATCAATAAAGGAATATCAAATTTATATTTAATATAAATCTATCTATATTAACAAAAGAGGTGTGGGGTATGAGACATCAACTAAACAACACAACAAAATACATCTAAAGAAACAATACATCCAAATTAACACAACAAAATAATACCGACACAACATAAGAAACCCCTATTAACCGGAGGAACACCTTAGACGTTGCAAGAAATGCATCTTTGACTATTCAGTGCAATATCAAAGATATAGAACGCCAGGCAATTGGCAGCATCTGCAACTTAAAAAGCATCTTAAAATGCTAGAAATTTTCGTTCAAAGTGCAAAAATGCATGATAGAAGAAGATAGTAAAATTTTAAAAATGTGTCGACTTACCGATTAGTGATGAAATGAGAACTAGACCAGCAAGGTACTGCATGTTTGAGATTAAACGTACGTGTGGCTTACAATTCTGGTGGATTTTAGATAACTATGATTGTGACCAAGTGTGATTTTCGTTTATCATTTATACCATTATTACGTATGACGTGAATTACTTCCACCTGGTTATAATCCGGGCGTAACATCATGTCATTCCGTTATTGAATCTGTGGTATCATCTAAAACAAACAGAGTACGCCTTCCAATCATACAAAACAAACCGCATAAACAGACCCAGACTGTTTACAGTGACCTATCTTTAATGTGTAATTACTGATAATTTCCGTTTTATACCACTGTTACTTGCAAAGAGACAATTAAGTTAGAATGTAAACTTAGAATCTCTGGAATGACTTATCATTTTGTTTAGTGTTATTACACTACTCGATACATTTAATGGGTTTTTGCATCTAAAGTCTATTTTCTTTAAATAAAATACTTTTACTCTTTTTTGTCTGCATAACCGTTATTCTGACTCATGTTTGCACTTAAGAACTCTTCCGAACACCTCAGCAATAGACATAGAAAAGAAATTTATATAATCGATGTATTTCATTGTACTGTGACTGCAAGGAAAAAGGGTAAGAATTATGCATATTACAGTTAAATCAGAAAGTTAAATAGAATTGAAAAACAGTTATTTAAAAAGAATAGAATCGTTCATAAAATATAACAGTCTAACTAACCAGAAAGGGAAAATGTTATCAAATAGGCCTCTAATGTAATGACTGATGGAGACAAGAAACTGAATATGCCAACAGGCAAATATCTAATGTTTTAGTGTCAATGGTTTGATGCATTATTGATATATATTATACTGAAGTGTATATAAAGCACTGACAGGATATATGAGACCATATACCCTGTGAACAAAAACGAATACACGCCAGTATAGTATAAATTGTTATTCGGGCTTCACAAGTGATATGGGCTCATATTCACTGTCAGTGCTCTATATACCCTTCGCCGGCTCAGGGGATATAAAAAACTGTCTGGAGTATAAGCCCATATCCCTTGTGAAGAACCCGAATGACATATAATATCCACGATCGTTATGTTCAAAGAAGCTGTGTATGGTTAAATTCAAATATAAGAAAACTTTGTATAAAACAATAGATTGATAGGAGTGTACTTCTTTTGATATGACATAAGTTTGATAAAAATGAAATATTAAGTAAGAAGAAACCTAGATGTCAATTAAAAAGTAAGTCAATAAACTATAACTGACACTACGACCTAAAGAAAATGTACTGATTAGAAGACAAACAACACTACAGCGCAACTAAACATTGAGCACCACGATCTGTATCAAAATTTGTCTGCGAACTCAAGTTCTGCAGAAAGATAAGCAGACGAGTTTCTGCTCCACTACTCATTACAAAAATTAAACCCTCAATAATAAGTCATAACGAGAAATAAAAGACTGTCATGTGTGACACCGCAATTCCGCAAAAACCAAGTCATGATTCCTAAGATAAATTCGAAATCATGAATTAAATTTACCATTAAGAAATCTTTTTTCACCCTTTATCAAGGAAATACCTATAAAACAAGCTGTTTAATATTGTTTATATAACTTTGAGATATATACTCCACATGCAGGTGCTGCTGCAACTTTTAAACTACTGTTTTGCTTCATTTATCTCGTTTCTTGAACTTTAGTTCGCAGCGGACGCACTCTGTCGATTTCTACAAGTGGACTACAATTAGTGCGCGGGTTATATGCTGACAAATTCGTACTAAAACAAGCACATTTAAGTTGATATTGTCAGATTTAGAAATTTCTTTGTTCGAATCAATTAAATTAGCGTTTTACGCAATATGATTTGCCCCTCCATTAACCAGATAGTCATGATAGTTGTATCTCTAAATGGACTATTTTAATGAAACAAAGATCGACTGATTCCTATAATCTTATTATTTTAAGTTAAGAGTTCGGAGATCTTGTATATATGTAAAAGATAAAGAAGTCAAATATTCTAATACTTTTTTCTAGATGGTTTAACTGATTCCTTTAATCTAATTATTTTAAGTTAAGAGTTCTGAAATCTTATATATATGTAAAAGATATATATAAAGAAGTCAAATATTCTAATACATTTTTCTAGATGGTTTAACTGATTCCTTTAATCTAATTATTTTAAGTTAAGATTTAGGAAATCTTGTATATATGTAAAAGATATATATAAAGAAGTCAAATATTCTAATACTTTTTTTCTAGATGGTTTAACTGATTCCTTTAATCTAATTATCTTAAGTTAAGAGTTCTGAAATCTTGTATATATGTAAAAGATATATATAAAGAAGTCAAATATTCTAATACATTTTTCTAGATGGTTTAACTGATTCCTTTAATCTAATTATTTTAAGTTAAGATTTAGGAAATCTTTTATATATGTAAAAGATATATATAAAGAAGTCAAATATTCTAATACTTTTTTCTAGATGGTTTAACTGATTCCTTTAATCTAATTATTTTAAGTTAAGAGTTAGGAAATCTTGTATATATGTAAAAGATATATATAAAGAAGTCAAATATTCTAATACTTTTTTTCTAGATGGTTTAACTGATTCCTTTAATCTAATTATTTTAGGTTAAGAGTGAGGAAATCTTTTATACATGTTAAGGACAGAGAAGACAAATATTATAATACTTTTTTTAGATGGCTACATGTTGAGTGTTTTCGAGAACAAATCTAAATCAAACCGCCATTAGTCTAAGAGTCACAAAGGTTTACGTTTTGAGGAAAGTACCGTTTTTGAAATATTGTATACTTGTTAGTTGTTTAACGTTGAACGGGAGATATATAGATTCTACCACTGCATAAAGTGTGATACGATATTTATCCACTCGAGACGGTTAAATTTTCAAATTTAAAACGCGAAGCTCGCCGAGCGTTTTAAATATTTGAAATTTAACTGTCGAGATTGGATAATTATTCCACTGTATGTTAAATTTGATAGCTAAATCAATGTTTGATTGGTTGAGACCATTCCACGTGACACTGAACAAAACTTCTTATTTCTTATGCAGCAAAAATACTGCAATCTGATTGGTTAATTACCCCGGTGTAAATAACACCCTACCCTTGTTCACCCCGCGATAAATAAAATTTTGCCGAAAAATTAAAAAAATTAAAAAATTTGCCAAAATAAAGAAAAAAAAAATAAAATGTCAAAAAAAAAAAAAAAAAAAAATATAAAAAATAAATAAATTTGAGGACAAAATTTGTAAAATTTTTAAAAAAAAATTTAAAAAAATTTTGTTTTCCCGAAAATTCAAAAGAACAATTTTTTTCTGAATTTCCCAAAAATAAAGAAAAAAAGTATTTGACAATACGCAGCAACATCAACGTTGAAAAAATGTTACACTGGAAATTTTTCATTAGCATTTTTCAATTGTACATCCCAGTTTAAAAATGAGTAAAGAAAGGAATTGTTCATAAGAAATAATAATATTCCCCTCTGAGTATCATATTCCACTCTGAACGTCGGGACTTGCTCGTTCGACGTTACGCGCGGTTACTGTAAGTAACGTTTTGAACGTTTTTAAATTGCGACAGTAAAGTCATTATAGTGTTCAAAATTATTTCAGACGTAAAATCAAAACTTAAATAATAGATAATTATCTTTTGATCAGTACTGTTTATACATGTTTTAAATTATGTCGTGAGTAGTTATGAAAACAAGTGGTTAAGAAAAATGTATGTAAATTAATGTTTTATGTTCAGGTATTTAGTAGTAAACAAAGTATAGGCAGTGGAATAAAACATTCATTTCCCTTGGCTTAGGGAGATATGAAGATTTCTTCACCCTCGAAAAGTCATATTTCCCTCGGGCTCGGCCCTCGGGAAATATGAATTTTATTGGGTGAACAAATCTTCATATCTCCCTCAGGCACGGGAAATAAATGTATAATATCGTATTGCATGATATTTGGTGGTGGAATCTGTTTCTCTAATGATTTTAGACGAAATGCAGATAATCTTAATCCTTCTTTTCGAACGACCTGCAGAAAGATATGTTCTTTCTATGTGACGTCATCGGACATGGTCGCCTTTTTCATGACGCCACAATAGAAAATTTGACGTCATAATCGAATTTTGACCAATAAAGAACTGAAATCAAACGAACCACACGTTGATTAAATAAAAATAATCAACAGTCAGGAAAAGGATAAATCGAGTAAGAACTATTAGAGAAATTTGATATGCATTCAAGACAAAATCAAGTTTAGATTGATAGTGGTCTGGTGTACTATGATCGAGAAATGTCGGATAATTATGACTTCCTTCCTGATATCGAAGAAACAAACTGCAAAACACTGATGAAATTAACTTAATGTTAAAATAAGGAGATATTGTACGATTACCAATGAGATAACCAAAAAACGTTTCAACTCGATAGTATCTTAAATATCCAGTACGGTGACGGACCACTTACAGACCGATAAAAGGTTGGATTTCTGTTTACTTATTTGTTATTTGTATAAATTTGTAGAATATGAATACACATATTACTGTTTTCGATTGTGAGATGTGATATGTTCTACAACCTAGATTAATGGAGAAATAAGTAACAAGTACTATCTTCAAAAAAGATATCTGACGCATTCAGATATGAGCTTAGAGTTTAAGGTAGATGGGGTGTCTAAATTATGATCCATAGAATTTTTTAATAATTTGCCAAAATGTAGTTTATATCATGCTTTTTTAAAAAAAATAATAAAAAGAATGGGTCACGGGGCTTATTTTCACGCTACAGGTTGTGCAAAATTGACAAATTTTGTATAGATTATGCATGAAAAACCCAATTTTCTGCCATTAAACGAAAACTACACCATAGAATTTTGAGATAAAATATGAGAAGATAGCTCTAATAGTATGCTTTCAGATAAGAAAAAGAAAAAATGGGGTCACGGGACCCGTTTTCTTGCTACATAATAAAATAGGTAAATTCCTAACACATTCTATTGTAAAAGTAACTTTATCTGAATTATCTGCCCTTACATTTGAGTTGCCTCCCCTTATGTGGCAAAGTTGGAAAAAATAGAATCAAACAAAAGTATTCT